AATATCATGTCATACTGGTTTTTTGTGTCATTAACAATCTTTGTTAATATATTTACACATTTTTAATGACTTTTTAATATTTAATATTAAAATAAATCATGAACCACAGTGCCAAGTCTAGGTTTTTAAATTATATAGACCCTTGCCTTTTTAAATGATGTAATAATGCAATAATAATTGGTTTTGTGCACAGATATTTCCTGCAAAGTTAGGTTTCTTCGCGGGATTTCTTCTAAGTCAGAGAATTACTGAACTAAAAGGTATGAATTCCTGTTTCAAGCGTTTTTTGTCCCATGGTTACCAACTACTCCGAGGAAAGGGTTTTTCCACTATACAGAGGCCTCAGAAATCTTATGACAAACAGCCAACTGCACACTATCATTAGACACACACCACTGTCACCAGCAGCCGCGCTCCAGTCATCACCACTGTCACCACCACCTCCGTCACCGCCACCACTGTTGCTACCACCATCACCTCCATCATCACCACCGTTACCACCATCACCACCACCACCAGCATCACCACCACCAGCAGAAGCTCTGCCAATTTGTTAGGCAAAAATGTAGGTAATTCTTTATTTACTATCAGTATTCTCTCTCTGTCTCTGTCTCTGTCTCTGTCTCTCTTTCCATCTCCCAGTACCAGATTGCTTTTTCATATTTCTGTCTAAACTAAATGCTCCTTAAGGAATCTACTAACTAATACCTTACTTAAATTTCTTAAATTTACTACTATTTTACACAGGAGAGATGTATGCCTGTGAGTGTGGTCATACATACTGCACAGTGTATATATGGCGGTCATTGCACGGTGTGTGTATGGAGGTCACTGCACGGTGTGTGTATGGAGGTCAAAGGGTAAGTTTCAGAGTCCTTTCTCTCCTTCTTTACCAAGGCAACTTCTCTCTGATGGCCCTTCTGAATCCCCCAAGAGTTCCTGTCTGTCATGTCCCATGTTAACAGTCACTAATGCCTTTTGTCCTCTCTTCACTTAGGTGAGGTCTACAGTGAGCGAGTATTTCAAACAGCTGAGGAATTCTGTGTTGGAAGGTGGGTCCCACCAGAAGTGCTGATGGGAGCTGGTAGAACTTTGAGAGGTGAGAGGAAAGTAGACTTTTGGGACCCTGGCCCCTATCTGTCTGTTTTTTCTGTAAGGTGAACAGGCCTTCTCTAATACACTCTTCCTGCCATGATGTTCTGTGGTAACAAGTCCAGAGAAATAGAGCCAAGCCATTTTGGAGTAAAATGTGGCCAAAGCAAACCTTTTCTTTTATTAAGCTGATTACATTAGACATTTTGACATAGTAACAGTGTGACTAACAGCCCAATAACTCCTTGCTTCTCCCAGTTCTCATCATCCATTGTTTTATAAGCATTGCCTCTAATACACATCTCACTGTCTAACCCTGTTTTGGTCCATTTTTTCAGAGGATCCAAGCTTCCAGTGAGAGCCTCTCTATCACCTATGTCTGTGTGTTCCAGGCTTTTTGTTGTAGTCCACAGACATCGAGCTGGCTCTTCATAGTTGGTACAAACTGAACTACTCAAAGCTTAATTACATTTTAATACCTGCCTTAACTTAATTATTCTTCGTTTCGTTCTTTTGAATTGCTCTCACTGCAAGCTATTGCACTTTCATGTAATCCTAATTTTTAATAATAATGTTGTTAAATGATCTGTGTTATCAGTATAAGAAGTCTGTAGTATTTAGAAATGAGATAAGAGAAGTAACATGAAATCCAATTATATAGGTATGAAACCATGATTTAAGATGTGGATTTACTTTTAGGGTTTTTTTTTTTCTGTTTCAATTTCCAAATTGGAGTCACTTAATTCTCTTTATAGCTGGCCAGTGGTGGTGCACATCTTTTAATTCCAGCACCTGAGAGACAGAGGCAAGCGAATCTCTGTGAGTTCAAGGCCAGCCCTGGTTTACAAAGTGAGTTTCATATACAGAGAAACCCTGTCTTGAAAAATCAATAAACAAATAAACAAACAAATAAATATCTCTTTATATCCACACCTTTAAAACACCTTGAGTGTATAGCTATGAGGGTTGAAGTTATTTCCTCTCAAGAGAGAACTGGATATTCCAGTTGTTCCTTAACATTGGCATTTGTCTCATTTTTTAAAACTATCTTAAATGATAGTAACAGTGTCCTTGGACTTCCATCTCTGTACTGTGATGACGCACAAGGGCCTGTCATATCTTGCAAAAAGCAAATAGAGAACTTCACTGTGCTGCCTGCTTTTGCTTCTTTCTCCTTCAGATCATGGCTAATTTTGTTCTATACTTTCTCTTTGCAGAGAAGCCACCGGAACTTGACATTTACCTGACCCAAAGATATTTGGGCCATACATACCTTGATTTAAATTTTTTAAAGTTTAGTTCATTTAAAAAAAAACTGTGTGTGTGTGTGTGTGTGTGTGTGTGTGTGTGTGTGTGTGTGTGTATGCATGCCTATGAGTGTAATTGCCTGAAGGGCCCAGAGGCCTCAGATCCTGTGGAGCTGAAGTAACATGTGATTGTGAACCACCTGATGTGGGTGTTAGGAACTGAATTTGGTTTTCTGCAGTCCTTTTAATTATTGAGCCATCTTACATTTTAACTGGAGATACCATACACATAGAAGATTTGTAATGTTGGGCATTTCCCTCCTTATTTTAAAAACAGATTTTAAGTCTCCTGAGCATGGAAGTTTGACAGGAGAGATAGTTGGGCTTAAATCCTCACATTGGCACCCACTCTGCCACTGAGCTACATCCTAGTCTAGAATATTTTGTATCCTGATTCTCACTCCCCTGCCATCCCATAGCTTTCTGCTTCTGACAAGTTCCATGATGTTGCATTATTATTATTATTATTATTATTATTATTATTATTATTATTAT